TGAGAGAGAGCTAGAAAGTCTTTATACCTAAAGATCTCAAAATGCTCTATTTTCTGTTGAAATCATTGCTTTTATAGCCAGCATTTGGGTCATATAGAACAGGTGTCTACAGTCTGCAGGCCAAATCTGGCATGCTTTCTCTTTATGTAAATCAAGTTTTACTGGAACACGGCTATGCTCATTCCTGTATGCAATGTCTCTGGCTACTTTCACAGTACAACAGCAGAGTGAGCAGTTTCAAAAGAGTCTCTATGGCCCTCAAGGACTAAAAGATTTACTATCTGGACCTTTACAGAAAACCATTTGCCAATCTTTGGTATAGGCTAAAGAATAGGAATACACAAGTATTTTGAACTTTATTACAATAATCTCTAAACTTTTAATACACATTATTTGGGCCTTAAAGGCAGATATATCCAAGAGAAAACATGGCAATCAACAGGTTGACAAAACAGTATGTCATTAGTTATTAAAACTTGCTACATTTAGGGCAACATGACTAAAAGTTAAAGAGAAGTATTTTCTCCCACTCTACTGTTGTTCTGCCCCATAAAGAAAAATATGACTCTGGAGTCAGTCAACATTCTTCAGGTTGTAAATGATAGAAAAGAACCACAAACTTGCTTAGGGGAAAAAAAGAGGGGAGGAGAAAGAGATTTAATGGCAAATAAAATCAAAGGAAGTTTGAACCTGGGAATTTAAATACCGCTCTCTTTCTTTACGACTGACTCCCTCCCTTTCCCACTTCTCCTCTCTCTCCCTAGACTCCCATCCTGTCCTTCTCTCTGTGTTGGCTTCATTGTTTCCTGCAGCAACTGGATTTTCTCCATGTCATGGGGAGAATGACCCCTGGCAGCTCCAGACGCACGTTTCCTGCCCTCAGAGAACATTTTCCTTATCCAGCCTCAGTACAGGAACCCAAGAAGATGGAGTACAATGATTGGTTTGGGGTTCACCCCTAGGGTGACGGGGTGAGGACTTCCTACACATGAAAAGCAGAAGAGGAAATGGTGTGAGGATAAGAGGACACATGGTTAGACTATGTGCTCGTCCACCATAGCAACCAGCCCTTCCGCATCGTCACACAACCCAAGGAAATTCTAAGAGGATATTACATCTATCCCTTACTAGAGGCTTAGGCCTGTTGTAAATGGTAATTGAGTATTTAACATATTCTGATTTTACTCTCTAGATTTTACAACTCCATTCACCTGTTTCTAAAACTTCTTTATTCCTGGTGCTATAATTGATGCTTCAAAGAAGACAGACATACAATGTTACACCTTCCTCTGATCATATCTTTCTCAGACCAAATAATTCCCATTTCTTGGTTCTGACTCTAAACCCTATGGCTGAGACTTTACTTTTATTTTTATTTTTTTACTCCCATTACATTTGTTGTGGGTTGTTTTTTTCGTTGTTTTTTTGTTTTTTGTTTTTTGTTTTGCAAAATTTAAAACACACCTTCTTAATATATGAAATTCACAACGTGACACCAGCTAATGATCCATATAACTCTGGCTATATTTAGAATTAGCATTGGAATCAGATTCACTTGGGGAGAAATTGTACTCTGACACTTATTCAAAATTGTATGATCGTGAAATAATCAATATTCTCATTTTATACATAAGGACTATAAGCTATTCACTTAGTAAATATTTATTGGAAGTATCAGAGCTTGGGATGCAACCATAAAAAAGAGAAATAAGGTCTCTACTCTCAGAGAACATATATGTCAAGGCTATAGACAAGTTAACGGTTATTTCCATGCACTGTGGTAAGTATTGTAATACAAAACACAGGGTGCTACAGGAAGACAGAGAAAAGGTATGCAAATTAGACTTGGTGGGGGAGAGGAGCAGGTGGTGCGAGGCAGGACCCTTCCCTGAGGAGCTGGTCTCTAAGGTGAGACTTAAAGCAAAGAGTTAAGCAAAGGACAGAAGAGCATGGGGATTGAACAGTATCCCAGGGAGAGAAGGAGACAAATTTACCAATATACAAGAGGGCACAATGATTTCAAGGAACTGAATGTTAGTCAAGTGTGAGGAATCTTCAGGTGACAAGCCAACTAGCTCAAATTTAAAAAGTAGAATTTTTTGGCTCATTAATCAACCTACGGGGGGACTTGGCTGGCATCAGGGATGGCAAAATACTGGGCCTGGAAAAAATGCATCTCTGCTTGCGCCCTTTGCTTGTCCTTGTGGATTAAGTTGTCTGTTCTCTACTTCTATAGACTATTTTCGCCATGTAACTGAGAAAATAGACACCAACTCTCCAGAACTTACAATACAGTAGCTGTGCCATTGGAGATAAAAGAGAGGTTCTTGCTATCTTCCAGTTGCTTGGGCCTGTGAAAATGTCAGTAAGTGTGCGGCATCTGAGATTTTACCCGCCTTACAAACAGGTTAACCTGCCATGGTTTCATGGATGCTGGTAGAAGACTCTGGGCTGCTGGCTCAGGGACAAGTATCTCTCAAGGCACAGAAGGCCAGGTGAGCTTCAGGTTCACATCGATTCCCGTTAGGCCCCAAGTGTCATGGAAGCAACATGGAGCACCCAGGTGGATGTTACACACACAGTGTGAGCTTGTGTTCCAGCGGAAGATCACTGATCTGAGGCGACAATCTTATAAAGGGACTGCTAGCAAACCTGTCCCAATTTTGCCCCCAAGGGAGACACTATCTTTATCATCCCAGTCAGGGAACACATATGCCCTCTGAGCCAGAAGGGGATACTAGCTTTAACTTCTGGCTGTTAGGCAAATATCCTTTTTGGCATACTTTATATTTTATGTAAAACACATAGCAATGCATAACATAATATTGTTAATAACACATAGTATTATGACTAATGGCTATGATACTAAACACAGCAATGCTTTGCTTTTAAAACATATCTCCAGAATTACCTAAGGAAAATGTGAGGAAAAAGGAGCAACTTACTCGTATCGCCAGGGTTAAAAAGAGGTGTGACTTAAGAAACTGGATGAAATTCAAGCTCTTGAAAGAGAAATTAAAACAATTTTGGTTCATACTGGAATTTTATGTATCACTGCGAATAGGATTAAAAGCAAAGAGGTATGCAATTTATTTATTTCTGAAAAGAGAGGCCAGGAGAAAAGCTGTCATAAGATGTGTAGAAACTCTGTAATTGACCTCCAATAAAAAAGATTCCAGGGAAGAAATTCAGTCATGTGCCCCATCTTGGATCAAGTATTTTGTCCAAGGAGATGGGTTAGTATTATCGTATATTTTGTTCAAGTTGACTTCCCATTGAAGGACAAGAGTCTAGGTTGCTTAATAAGACATTAAGAGAAATGTATTTGACATAGATGAGTCATGTTTACTATGACTCAATTTAGAGTGTAAATGATAAGGCTGAAAAGGTAAGATGGGGCCAGATCATGAAGAATTATGCAGATCACCCTACGAGTCTGGAAATTTTCATACATGCAATAGTAATCTTATTGAACCATTTTATAATGTGGTAATGTTAGTGTTAACTTTAGAAAGATTGCAATAGCACAGATCGTAGAGTTTGGTAGGAAAGAATAAGTGAGGAGAGAAGTTAGGGGGCTGTTACTACAGTCCAGATAAGATGACAACAGTGACCTGAACCCGCGTGGGGGCATGGAGGGAAACGGGCAAGGTTAAGGGTACTTTGGTAGCAACTACAGGGAGAAAAGACAGAATCAAGGACAAATATTTTTTTTCTTTGGTAGACTTAGTGAATTAAGATATAGAACCTAGAAAGATAAGTGGGTTTTAGGTGGGGAATGCAAACTCCACTTTGAAAATCAGAAATTTGAGGTGGGACAGGTCACAGAAAGCTAGGCTGAGGAGATGGATTAGGAGACGTGTCTAAGGCATGGGTGGGAAAAGGGCTAAGCAGAGAGCAGGCCTCTAGGTCAAAACCCGAAGAACATAGATAGTAGAGGGAAAGTCATAAGAAGAGAAATCTGGAAAAAAGAGTCGAGTAGCCAGAATGGAAAAAAGAAAGTTAGGAACAGATAGTACAATGGAAGTCAAAAGATGATTCAACAGAAGTTGATCTCATTCATTTAAATTGTTGTGCAACATGCCACAGTATAAATGTACCACAATGTAATGAGAACTAAAAACAAAGCAAAGAACTCAAAGCAGTTAAATGATGTCAAATAGCCTAGAACAAATTCCTTCAGCTGGGGGAGCGGGGAGTGAGGAACTCCATCAAGCTTAAGGAGCATTGTGGAATGAAGTGGGTCCTATTAACACCTTCGTTGTATTGACATTCAATAAATGTCAGTAATTTTCCTTGATAAAAGTGAGACTGTGACTCACATGTGGCTCATAGTCTGACTCCTAGATCTTTTTCAATCACTCTTATAACCTATCCAGTCATTGTATTTGTACTAATGCAGCTTTTTTTCCCTAGTAAATGTGCCTTTTTTCCTTTCCGATTATGTCGCTAGTACCAAATCCTTTGACTTATTGGTGGCACCAGAAGTCATAGGTTAATTGGCAAGATAAGTACAAGCGACAATTTATTTCTGCCTATCTCATTGATGTAGATAAGCTCTGGCTGATTGGTTCTCCTCCAAACATTAGCTAAAATGGCCATGTAACTTAGGCCATCCTGAGAGTGGTATGGTTTGAAATCGTTGCTTTCCTAGCAGGAATCTAAGTCTTTTTGCTGTTGTTTAGTTTGTATGTGTGCATATGACACTCACACATTTCTGTATCTGATTTTTTTTCTTCCCCTTGGAACTAGCACAGATAAAATAAAAATTCTTAGTTCTTTTGTTAGGACAAGGAGGGGGAAAATATCACATACCAATCCAAGTAGAGAGAGAGATAAGGAAATAACAGGTTGAGAAAGGCATTTTATAATTTATTAATATATATTGGTACCTCTTAAATTTTTTTTCCTTTTATGAAAAAGAATGTTATAAAATCACAAACTATTAAGAAATCACATACTTTAAAACATTTATCACTTCCTTTTTATAGCTTTATTGACTATTACCAAGTTTCAATGTTTCAAATAATTAAATACTGCAACTGGGACATTAAAAATACAAACTAATTTACCAAAATAATTGTATTCTGAATATTATGTACAATATTATACATTTTACATTACATAAAGGGTTTTTATACATAAAGGTAAAATTTGATTCATGATTATTGAAAATCCAAAATAGATTGGAAGTAACATTCCTATGTATACATACACAATCTCTCAACTGGGACAATCAAAACCATACATGAGTACGGTTACTAAAAATAAAATTACATTCATACCACGACGGTAGAAATTGAAATGTTTTTAATAATTTGAGAGTATTACAAAACCACAGACATGAATTATATAACCTAAATCTATATATCTAAAAATCTTTATGCTTGAGGCTGAAATGTCTCTATTAGCCCCAGGGAAATTTTTGATTTTTAACTTAAGTAATTTTTATAATTCATCACCATTAATATGTCTACCTGTGGCGATAATGTGGACCCAACCCCAGCAGTCAGAAAAGTCATCAGGGTTTATCATACTGCTGTACAGTTTTTGAAAAATAATCTTATTCAATTGTACAGTTTTGTATGTCTTCATATTCATACTAGCCATCAAAGTGATTACATATTGAGGCACAGAACTTGCAGGGGAAATATATATTATTGTAGGGGATTAGATAATGAAATAAGGATATTACCAGGTGGCTTTGGAAAAGTAACAGAATGGGTGCTCATGGAGAAAACACCACCCACACACGGTAAGTTAGTTACTGAACAACATGTCAGTCTTTCAAAAAAGGTTAATATATTAAGGTGTCATACCTTGTTTGGATACTGAAATATCTAAGTCCAGAATACTGTTACATGAATTTTAGTACTATCTTACTTTTAATTCCTTTCAAGAAGAATAGCTGTGATTTGAAGAGAAATATTTTTCTACCTGATCTGACAAGTCTGAAAAATAATGTCAGTCTGTAATGGATCTTACTCCAGAGGTACAAAGACTGGTGAAAATTCTACCAAAATTATACACAAGAACCTTGAAAGAGGAGCAATTAATAAACGGGCCATTCTCCTGAAAGTCTGCACAGCATTTCTGCACTATTCTTTATTTTGAAATCCTGTATTTCATCAAAGGCAACCAGAACACCTGGAAACTAGAAGACAGAAAAGCAACAAGTTGAAACATGTACAAAATCAATGTCCGTTCCACCATCACATAATGTTTGAAACAGAGATTCAGAGCCTAAGGTTTGCTTTATTGTTTTTCTTTTTGCTCGGGTTTAGCTTGAATATAAAAGAAGCTCTAACCTAGGTTATCAAAATATATCATATAATTGTATGAGCATTTCTAATACAAAAGTTTAAAAAATCTAAATACTTAATTTTCATAATTAAATATCCTAGAATTCAGTAGGCAGGTTTATTTTTGAGCAGCTTGTAAGGAATCTTGTCGGCTGAGCGCTGTCTGTGAACCGGAGGTGCAGCTACATTTCAGCTCTTCGCTGCGATTTCTCAGCAACAGCCACCCCGTCTTCTTCCTCCTCCTCTTCCTCCTCGTAGTGTTCTTCTCCGCCTTTGGCATGTTTGTCAGCCCGAACTTCTCGTTCCTCTCCATCATTGTTTTTCTCATCAGCCTTACCATTAAAAAAAAAAAAAAAGGATATAGAATTAGACAAATAATCTCCTCTTTTAAACAAAGGGTGAGAAGTTACTCATTTTTTGGAGGAAGGAAAGAAGAGAAAAATAATGTTCTAACAGGCAACAGTGCTACAGTCTTTCCTAATCTTCACATTGTCACAAATTTTCCTAAGTCTAGGTTGGCCTGTTAAACTCAGTGATACCTTAGATATACTGACTGGTATCTATCCAATTATATACATGTATCTACTACACATGCGCAAACATGTGGACCAGAAAGGCACATCCTACACATACATTTTCATCATTTTCACCATAGGTCTCTTCAGCGTTATGCTCCAATTCTCTTTTTTTCTCTTCAGTCAAATCTTCCTGAACCTAAAACAAACCAGAGATACTAGGTGACACTTACCATTTTGACACTTGAAACAACATATTCTGATTTCTAAAAAGTTCATTCAAAATAACAGCAACAGAATTAAACTAAAAATAAATTTGAAAAAAGATAAAAGTCAACGATTTGACTTGTCTATTAGCTATAAAAAAAATGTATAATACACTACTATTAAAAAATCTTACTCAGCTGTCAGCTGTACCTAGACGCATACCTGGCATGCTGCTTAATAAATATTGTGCAATGAATGAATAAATGAATCAATGCACATAATACCTGCTCTGTAAAGGCACAGAAAACAGACCCATGACCTATATATAAGGTAAGAGGAAACTGAGAAAAAGTGTGTGTACATATATTTCTGTAATTAAGAATAAACTTTTCTGTCTAAAGTATCCAGAATATAGCACACAATCATTTCAATTTCTTCAAAGAATAGTTATTAAAGTGCTTCAAATCCCTACCTCTCTTCAGTGTTCGAACATGTTTGTTTTAAATAGTTTCCTGTAATGTTCATTATTACTGTTATGTCATTGATGCCAATTATTTTTGAAAATGCAAATCAATCATCCAAATATTTTTGCTAAATAGTCTCTATTTAATGATCACATTCCACAAAATATATGACTTAGAAAAAATGTTAGAAAATATTTTCTAACTTAACTATTATGAAAACCACACATACGCCAAACAGTTCAAGTCATTTGAATATATTTCCAAATATTGCTGTTTATCAATTAAGCATAATGTACTGTCCTGGTACGAAAAGAAAACCTGTCTCTCCAATGACAGTGGTATAGAGTAGGCCTCCTAGAATAACACATAGAATTACTTGATTATTATTTTTTCTTTTTTTTGTGCAGAGTGGGGAGATTTTAAAAACCCAGAAATGAGCAAGGAAAGGAAGTATGCAGGTGTTCTGATTAAGGAGCAAGAAATTAAGGGCTGTCTCAATATGTTTAGCCCAGGCAGAACAGGAATGAACCACAACCTCCCTGGCCTGTGAGGAGCCTACAAAGATGACCCTTCAAAGATGCTCTAGACAGAGCCCTGCCTTCTTGAACCAGCCCAATGTCAGCTGTACTCACAGCCCCTAAACTACACTGGCACAAAATAAATTCATTCTGGAGACAGAGGTGTAGAGCATCTTTTGTATTTACATGTCCTGGTGGGGAGAGCTAGAGAGAAGACGCATGTCACACCAGCAGGCTCTACCTGGGTCCATGACATTGTTCTGCCCTTAGTCACAGAACCTCTTATCAACATTCCCCAGGACACTGGGATGAAAATGATGAAGCACTTATTTCAAACTATATTAAGTTCTCACTAATTGAAACATCCTTAAATTGCTCAAGTGCCCCGGTCGATTTCAATGAATAGATGTGTCTTTAGCCGGTGAACACTACACATGGCTTAGCTGGGGTTGGGAGGAAACTACCTTGAAACTGTGAAAAGATTATATAAATCAGGGTCAGCACATTTATTCTGTACAGGGTCCAGATAGTAAGTACTCCGGCTTGCTTGGCCACAACGTATAGCAACTACCCAGCTCCACCACTGTGGTACAGCAGCTTCAGATAATACGTAAATAAACATACATGGCTGTGTTCCAAGAAGACCTCACTCAAAATAGGCCAAAGCCAGTTGTTTGCCAACCACTAACATTGACTATGGTGTCAGACAAACCTGGACTAAACTTTGGCTCTGCAGCTCTCCAGGCTGTATTAACAGGGAGGTCATTTGTTTTTATTATAAAAATTTCAAGCACAAAGAAAATAATTTCATGAACTCCTTATAGTCATCACCAAAGTTCAAAAGTCATTACAATGTTGCCACGCTTGTATCACCTATTGCTTTTCTTTATTTTGTGATGAATTTTTCAAAATTCTGTACATCATGTAATTTCATCACTACCCATCTCAGGATACATCTCTAAAAATAATGAACTTTTCTTATATAACCATAGTGCCTTTAAATCACCTGATAAATAATTCCATGGTTATCATCTGGTGTCTAGTCCATACTTACATTGTCCTGTCTTACAACTGTATATTTACAGTTGTTTTGCTCTAGTCATCATCCAAACAAAGGCCACTCCTAACTTAGGTTCTCCTGTATGTTATTGATTCTTTGTCCTAAGGAAAACCCCACCTTCTGGATTATTTGCTTCTTTAAGGCGTCACTTAACTCGTTCCTTCGGCCCCCACACTTCTTATGAAAGCAAGTTAGCTTAAGGCTTAGGTGAATTCATATCCAATTTGCAAAGCAAGTGTTTTTCAGAGGTGATGCTGAGACTTCATATTCTAATCACACCAGGAGGTACATAACGTCTGTCCCACGTGTAGTGAGGCTAAGATTGTTCAGTGAGCCTGATGGTGACAGCCTGACCCTCCAGGTGAGGTTCCCCGACTTCCGTTCCTCTAACAATATCATCCATCGATGACTACTCTTACTTCAATGGCTTTATTTAGGGGTTACAAAAATGGTGACTTTCTAATTCTATCATTCCTTCTGCATTTACTAACTTCTTTAAAGAAGAACTTGCACATATCAATTATTTAGTTACATGCATGATTGCATGCTTAGTATACTTTAAAATAAGACCTCAGTGGACTATAGTCATGGTTTAACAATAACAAGCTGTGTGACCTCCAAAAATTTAGCTACCCTCTCTGAAGCTCAAATTTCTTATTTGTAAAATAAAAGAGCTGGATAAAAATTCAGTGATTTTTAATTGTGTGTGGAATATGGGGAGTCATGGATCTTCTTATGACTTTGGTAAGGAAGTTGTTAGCAAATGGGTAGAGATACACATATTTTGCCCAGAAGTTTCAGGAGGTTCAGACTTCCCAAATTCCACCTACAACCATCTGTCCTTGGACCGTGCTTCTAAATAGTGTGCTCCTGAAACATCAGCATCAGCGAGGGGGGTTTGTGTACAACTCTGACTTCTAGCGTCCACCAGACAAGTTGAAAACTTCCCAGGGTAAGGTAGACCCAGTCTTTGTATTTTTCACATATTCTCCAAGGTGATCCTGAGCTACAGCAAAAACTGAGAGCCACTCGCTTGAGTGACAGGGATACTGGCTAGAATGTCCCTGGCTAGAGTGATAAACACCCTTTTTATGAGTTTTTTCTTTCCTTACCTTGGGTTCTGTTGTAGGAAATTTAGGTTGTTTACCATATGTCAATATAATCTGAGGTAGGAGGTACTGATTTAAATTACTCCTTAAATTAGGGAACCCATGGATGAAAATTTTGTAATTTTTTAGATTTATAAATGTACCTTACTATTCTAGCAACATACTCTTCATGTTTGGGGCAAAAGTACAATAATTCGAATTCATCTTAGGAGCATTACTGAAAAGGAAAGAAATGACATGGAATTTCTAATTTTAAAATACACTTGGACTAATAATCAGAAGCCAAATGTTAGTACTTTTTTATAATGTAGATAACACCAATTATGTATGTCTTCCACATTTGACCCTCTTTAATATCCCTGTCAATGATGCAAACATTCTGTTAAAGAGTTCCCGACACTGCTCCTCATGATTCATTTTTGTTCACTGAATTCTGATGTTTTTTAAGCCTTTTAGAAATGGTCCCCATGTGGTGTGGCGAAGTTTAATAAACAGCCAGAACAAAACAAAAAATGGATCTACGAAAACTGAAGTGGGCTTTGGCTAGCTACCCCATCCCTATCCCTGTCCCTGTATTAACGCCTTTCTTTTATCCTTCTAAGATGTTATGGGATGAGCCAGGAACCAGAAGGCTGAGCTGTAAGTAGTCAGGAATGGCAGGATCCAAACAGGTGGATGGAATGTGACCAATGCAGGGCCTTCGGCAATGTCAGCTCTAGTGATGGGCACCGCTGCTGGCTGAGTAATGTTTAACAGGAGAGTTTTTGCCATCTGGACAGCTTCTTGATGTGGAGATTCACAGGCCAGCAGCGCCACTAAAGGCAGCCAAATAAATAACCTTGTGCTTGCTCTCTCATGAGTGTTTGGATCCATCTGTTTTCAGTTATATTGGGGAAACTGAGCACTTAGAGCTTTCAAGCAGTCATTCGATCTCCCTATTTTTTGAACATTTAACTTTAGAGCACACAGAGCACTTTTTTGGGGCAATGTCATAATTTGTCCTGTTTGCTCCTAAGTAGGTAACAAATCTGCTAAGTTAGCCACATGAGGATGGGCTCACCATGTGAATGTTTTCCCCTCAAACAATCCCAAACAATAAGCAATGAAGGCTTGTCAACAACCATCATCTTTCTGTCTTTGAAGGGCGACTAACACCACTATACTGAGACAAAAGGTAGGGACAGTGCAAATTTCCTAAAAAAAAAAATCACACTGGTTTGGGGTTCTCTACTTTCAAGAGGTCAAGTCACAAGTCTGAGATGCTGTACCTCTGAGCAGCTATTGCCCTAGCAAGATGCACTTCCTCCCAAGGGGAGGGGAACTGGTAAGAGCGTTGAGCCTCACATGCCAGTGGTCAGTCGGGCAGCCCAAGGACTCGGAGGCTTGATGGAGATAAGAACAACGTACATTACATAGTACCCTATGGATCTCAGTGTCTCACACACAATCACTGATAGACAACACCCTATGCGTTCTCCCATACTGCAGCTCCTCCTGTAACTCTCATTTTGCTACAGCCTGCTGAGAACTCTGTCTGTGACCGTTACTAGTCCTTGAATGGTATTTAGGAACCGCTCTTCTCCACCTTCCTCATGGGAAGAACTGGGAACAATGGAAAGAGGAGGGAAGATCTAATAATGATCATCTCAGGAACCACCAGACAAAGACAACACAGCCTGACCAAGGGTCGCTAAGGGGTGGAGAGGAAAGTTGCCCAGGGAAGAAGGTACTCTGCGCTTCCTCGGAGAGTGCGCCAGACCATAGTTCTAAATGACAGGGTGTGGCAACCTGCAGCCTATGCAAGAGAGCATTTAGAGAGTGGGCACCGAAATGCTGAACACAGGAATCCTGGGCAGGGGACTGGCAAGAGACAAGCAGGACCAGGGGTCTGGCACAGGGAGAGGAAACGGCTCTCTGGTCAGTTCCACCCACGGGAGGGAGGAAGAGCCGTGGCCCACGGGAGTGGCGCCCAAGGGTGAGACTCTAACCTCCTGCCTGGCCACCATTCTCCACCTCCACCCCCATCTTTCTTTTCTTTTTATCTTCAGTCCCTCTTGGGTCACAGGATGTCTCTCTTTGCCTTAACTGCTATAATGTAGAAATAAAGCAATCATCAGTAAATACTGATTAAAATTTTATGTTTACCCTCCTGAATTTTTCAAAGGAAGCCAAGGTGAACTTCTTTCCTTTTAATCTCTCAAAGATTCCTGGCATCTGCCATAATAAAATAAAGTAATATTAGTCTAGACATCCTGTTACAAGACAAGTCCAGATGAGTATCTTTTTCTTGCCAAATGTCTTAATATTCAAGGCTGCTAGTTTCTCTAATGTTCTCTTCTGATAAGACAGCTCAGGGTCTTGATTAGGATGAAAAGCAGGATCAGAAAAGAGAGAATGAAAAGATCAAGCTCATTTGAGTGCATATGACTAGAGATGTATGTTGCCCATGGCTGTAAAGAATGACATCCTTTCATCTTTCTGGTATAAGCACATATTTTAACATTACCTCTGAAAGATGACAAATGCAATAAAAATGAGAGAGCAGGCCTAGTCAAGGGAACTGTGGACGTGAATGCAGCACAGGTGCTGTGAGCAGGATCTCAGGTGGCGGGCGGTCTGTTCAGGCTGCCATGTGTCCATCCTCCCACGCAGTGCCCTTTAGGGCCAAAGCCACACACACTAGCAAGACGCCTGGCTGCGAGGCACCTCTAAAACAGGGATTTAATTTATTGAACAATTTACTGGTCCAGGGAGAGACTAAACGGGGACGGAGGGAGGGCTCGGCCTCATCCATATCATGTCCCCATGTACTGAGCTTCAGCCGTTCGTACAGTAAAGTGTGGTGACAAAGCAGCCACGACTACCAGCGCTCCTCAGCCAGTTACCAGCCAGGGCCCATGATGCTCTAAACCTAACTAACAACAATGTGCCAGAGGTTTACAATAAAAAAGCAAACTGAAATGAAAGGTTAAGAAATCCTACCAAAATGCATTTCATTCAACTGAGCTCCTTATGTATTTTTCCTTTTTGTAATTGTTAAATTTAATTAAGATACCAAATCTTTGGGATTAACAAGGCTAAAAGTAGAGACCATAAATTGAAAAAAAAAAAAAAAAAAGTCTGCAGGGTGTGAAGTGTATTCTGACAGACACTGCGGGGTACCCCGTGGGGCAGGCACTTTGCTAGGTCTACGGAGAAAGTAACAGGTCAGTGCAGACTCCCTCAACGTGCAGGGCTTTTTCTCCACTTTTACGAGGGAAAGATACAGGAGAAAACAGTCTTATGGAGATCACATATACCTAAGCCCACTATTTCTGAAAGGCCAAATGTCTTCTCAATTCCAACTCTCTAGTGAGAACCAGAGAGAAGGGATTCTGTTCCCCTGCTATTGTCATCTCCTTCCCAATGTCTCAAGGCCATGGTCTGCTTCCTCTTGCCTAAGCCTTGTCCTGCCTTTGTCTTTCTGAACAGCTCCATAAAAGACAGATCAAAGCCAATGCCTCTGAGGTTGGTTTAATGTTAGTGTGATTGCACCAAGCAGTGTGATCAGCCTCCTGCGTTCCACCGTCCTACCTCCTCCTCGCCCTCCTCCTGGTACTGCTCATCAACATTATCCTCCTGCTGGTCTGGATTTCCTGCCATCTGTTGAAACAAGAGGGGAGGCTCCGGTTACTGAACACTGGAGACGTGTTTTATAGTGCTCACAGAACAAGCACGCCACCATGCAAAGTGCACTTTCAATGCCTCAGTGGCCAGGAAATAATGAGTAATCATTCCCAACACAAAGCCCAGGCTGCCCGTCACTCTCTGAGTGCAGACACATCATTTCATATAATGGCTTGAAAACCAGCCAAAAAGGCAAACCGTCTGTCAATGTAGGTTATGACTAGTCTTTTTGCATAAACCAGGCATTTATTAAAATACCCATGATGAAGCTGCCCTCCCTAGAGGCCCCTGCTTACCACCAAATGCTCCTCCATTGCTGCATTCCCTTGCTTTTGAGGACTCTGCTTCTGCTCTTCGTTTTCATCTGGCAAATTTTCTTCTCTCGCTTGCTCGGCTTCCTCAAATTCATCTTCGCCTTGATTATTAGGGTCATCTGCTGGGTTTATGTCCTCTACAGCTGCCCTCTGTAAAATTTTAATGAAAAGCAACCAGCACTTCAAAATCCAGGATCAAGTTTAATTTCACTTGAAAGGCCACACACAGGCAGAAAATAAAACCATCCTTCACCGGGCGGTTCAAATCCATCTTTGCTGGGATGCACAAGTGCACATCCCACTGTCAAAAGAGAAAACTCCTGCATTATTTGTCAGAGGCTGATGAGTCAGAATGAAATATGATTGGCACTTCTTTTCTGTGATTCCAAACTGGTCCTCAAAACTAGACTATCAAAGTAATGTGAGCATAACTAAATAGGCACAAGAAAAATGGTTAAAAAAAACCAAGAGACAAAGTAGGAGAAATTATTAAAGTGGAAGATTTAGATTGGCAAAAGGAACTTTAGTCACTGGTATGCTGATTTTTATAGAGACACGCTTTCCTTTGCAAGCCATTTACATGTAAGTGGGTGAAAATGCAGTCGACGAGAAATAAGGCCGACATCAGGAAGGACCATAAGAGGGGCCTAAGAAAAGAGACAGAGAGAAGGCTAGTTCAAAAGTAAATGAACGATTTCTAGTATGGATCACATTTCTTTATAACAAATACTGTCAGGACCCTGAGAGACGCAGCGCTGGCAAGGGACAGGAGAAAAAGAACCGAGCTAACACAACCATTGGCAATATATTTTGAAAAATATCTCCCTCGACCTGTCCCCTCCTCCCAAGTAGCTCTCAGTTCCTGTGTTCAACAAATTCCCTTCATATTACCAACTTTAGAATTATCTCGATTTTCTACTTAAGCTCCCAAAGCGCCTTTCAAAATGAAACATGGCCTCATAAAGATTCAGATATAGAGCCTGAGCTCGGCAGAAACGGTGATGCTCGTGAGAGCTTCCCCATCACTCCAGTGTCATCAACGGGACACTTAACTGAAGCTGCCAACGCTTCCCGGAGATGGTGACTGCCTCAGAGCAAGATTTAGCCTCTTTTGGCGTTCTCCAGACTTGATTCTACTTCAATTCACTTCAGAGCCTTGAACGCGTTCAAGAGCTCTCTGCAGTCTCCACTGAATTATTCTCTGTACATCCCTGGCTATATACTTCATTCAAGTGCAAATGACACTTTTCTAAGGAAGATTAGAGAGTGACAAATCATTACCTGCGCACTAAACTCCAGTTACTTCACCATCTCTTATAGCATTTCTTTTTGTGTGTTATCAATAATTCGTGTGGAAATAGAAAAAAAAATATCACACATTCTCCTCAGAAGAAAAGGATGAAAGCTTTTGTAAAACTCAATAAAAATATACACATTAGCTCCAACTATGGCCAAGTAATAAGTAAGACTTAATGGGCATGGTGGTTATATCCTAATAAAATAATTAGATGGTTAATTATACCTCTCTGAAGTAGGAAAACAGTGAAGGGGTTAAGAAGTACAAATTGGTAGTTACAGAAAGTCATGGGGATGTAAAGTACAGCACACACAAGGAATATAGTCAATAATACTATATAACGATGTATGGTGTTAGATTGGTACCGTGTTTGACAGTTAACAATGTTGCTCATATCATTTATCTGGGCGATCACTTCATAAATTATATAAATGTCTAATCATATGTGGTATACCTGAAACTAATATAATATTTTATGAAAAGTAAAAAAAGTTACTAAAGAAAAAAATAGCCCTGACTTATGTGGCTTAGTGGGTGGAGCATCAACCTGCACACTGAAAGGCCGCTGGTTCAATTACCAGTCACGGCATATGCCTGGGTTGCGGGTCAGGTCTCTGACTGGGGCGCATGTGAGGCAACTGATAGCGCGTTTCTCTCCCACACTGGTGGTTTTTTCCCTCTCTTTCACGTCCCCTTTCCCTCTCTAAAAATACATAAAATCTTTAAAAAAAAAAAAAAAGAAATGAAACAGATAAGACAAAGAGAGGGACAAGTGGGTTAACAATTTCTAATTAAAAGAAGGCATGGTGGAGTGGCCAATGTTTCCCAGTGTGTTCTCCAGAACAAGAAAACGGATGACGATAAAGATTACACAGTCAAGTAATCGAAGCACACAGCAGTCCCCAAATGTCACCGACTGAATGCGCACCCCTCTCAGCACACTCCCAGGCTTCTGCCCTCACTTTGCTGCTCTCTCATGGACACTGCCTTGCTCTTCCCCAGTCTCTGGCTATCTCAGACTCTCCTGCTCTCTATAGCTCTTGCCCTTTCCTCAAAACCTTTCAGGGCCAGGGTTCCCTGGAGCGCACCTTCACAATGCTAATCCCAGGGCTGGCAGGTGTTCTGCCTTCTCTCCATGCAAGTGAAGGGGGAAAGGCATTTCCATCAAGGCGGCTTCACGCAGCCACCAGGAAGACTTTCTTGACAGTCATCAAGGAAGGACGTGGAGCTCTTTTCAATACCCTGGATCAGTGTAATACATGCAGGGCCCACAGGACAGCGCAGACTAAACTTTATAAACATGGTGGTCAGTTTACCAGCAGAAGATGACAGGGGAGCTAAAGTAAGCTGGAAACATCATCTACATAGAAGCACAAGAACACACCCACTCAACGTGGTCTGCCATACTTGGAGGCCAGACCCCGGACCACCCTGCTGAACTGGGAGTCGTGGTTCTTTTTTAGTAAGCACAACAGAGCATCATGATCTTCAGCAATTTTTTCACCTTTCAAACCACACATTCTAATCTAGGGGTTTATTAAAATGGTCACTGACTCTTGGAAGGTTACCGCCCCATGACACGCATAATGCCCTAGGAGACTGCTCCCCATGCTCAGGGACAGTTCGTTTCCTTTCTCTGGCTCCCTCTCCAGCTCCCACACTTGCCTTTTTTTTCATCCTCCAGAATTACTACATGTTTCAATGCCTTTCAATTTTGCTTTTATTTGTTGTAAATGACTGTTTTTTGTTTTTAGATTTTAGTTATTTTTAGAGAGAGGGGAAGGGAGGGAGAAAGAGCAGGAGAGAAACATCCCCTCCCACACCCCCCAAATGGGGGCCTGGCCCACAACCCAGGCACGCGCGCTGAGTGGGAATGAACCTGCGACCCCTTGCTTTGCAGGCCAGTGTTCCATCCACTGAGCCACAACAGCCAGGGCTACTTTTATTTTTTATTTTTTAAATTTTAATTCATTAATCTAAATGTCATCAGAGAAAGAGTCCTTTCATGTTTTCCCAGAGCAAACTTTAACACACACTCCCCCATGTTTTACAATTAACAATGTTGCTCATATCATATAATTATGCAAGCCCTTCATTAGCGCCCTTCTTTTGTGCTGATGAAATAACAGGCTTGTCTGGAGCCAGTGACATGGTGTCAAGCAAACCTTTGAGTTTCCTTTCTGCCTTGGCAGTTTCCAAGTGTCATGGCCTGAAGAGGGGACACTTACATCTGCCTCAGATTCTGGGTCAGCTTCAGGCAGCCCTTGTTCTTGAGGCATGTGTCCATTCTCTGGGTCTTCTTCTGCCTCATCTTGGTGCTGGTTGTCTCTCTCATAGGCTAGCAAATCAAAGAAACCAACATTAGCCCAGATGAACCAGACAGGATTCTTTCCGTTCACTAAACCAAAGCCACCAGTAGACTTTCCCAGAGACCATTTACTTAGTCTCTCCTCTAACGAGGTTAACTGAAAATAAGGTGTCTGTCTCGGCTTTCCTAAATAATGCTATGTTCTGTCCCAGAGCCGTGTGTAAGGAGACCTGAGGGTGAGTGGCACCATTCTAACTTGAAGACACAATGTTTATTACAGAGACTGTAACTTCCTATCCCCCAGTGCAAAAAACAAAACAAAACAAAAAAACCAACAAAAAACAATCAAAACTCTCCCCAATAAAAGCCCAGTCAACTGGACATTGCTAAAATTACCAACTAATTTTGGGTAATATCAGAGGAAATAGCAAGGTACCAAGAGCAGAAATTGATACTTTTTCAGGAAATGAAAGAAAGAACCACCCCATGTGTGGAACAAAAACAGAAATAGTGCCCATCCTATGACCTCTAACATGGCAGCGAGGAAGATGGTCATAATACAGATACGTCCACAAGATACCCACACAGACATTCACTAGATGCTTTTTGAAAAAAAAAAATGTTTTTTGATACAGAAAATTTGGATAAGAGCATATCAGGAGAACAAATAACTTGTTTAGTAAGCTATAAGAGGAATGGTTACCCAGATGGAGAATATTTAACCTGTAGACAATAAGGATACAGGGTAACTTACCATTAGGTTTCAAGTGCACCAGAGGATTCATTAAATAAAGAAATGAACAAACCATTCTCTAGTCTTACTGATAACAGAACAAAAAAGCTTTAAGTGCTATACAGGGGACATAACGAAAACAATTTCTTGATTCTAAGGGCTATAAAATACCAGAACAGGCTAGAGAGAGAGTGTGGGTAATCACCTTTCTTTAGACTCTTTAGAAAGGATACATATCTAAGTGCTGTCAGAGAGACAGTTACTTTATAGTTCTATTATCACAGAAAGCCACATTCGATAAATTACATACCATATGCACACTATAAAGGAAAGTTACAATTGACTTAATTTTTTAAAACTTTTTAAGGCAATGATCCAAAAGCCTCCAAGGTAAGGAGAATATGAAGAAATTTCCCAAAGCCTAACAGTTTTGTGGTAATGTGTCAGAAATAATTATTTAGTACACAAAAGCTTAAACTACTATCTCCTTTCTACTTTAAAATGTTACAGAGGAAACATTATCTTGGGCAATTTTGCCTACTATTGTGCAGTGTTTGGGAGAATTAAGAAAAACACCACCATCACAACAACAAAAGAGACATGGAACACAAGTCTCCTTTGCATGTATTCAGATATGCATATCACTGAGTTGATACACAGTACGAAGCAATTTTATTAAAGCATTCATCATCTAAGGAGCCTTACCACCTCCTTCTTCTTGGATGCCCTGGTCCTCTGCTCCCTGAACAATGTCATTATCCACGGCCTCATAATGAGCTTGCTGCCTGCAAGAGGCACAAACATCATCACGAATTAAACAACACAGTTTGACATAACTCGTTTATCTTTATAGACAGTAATAAACTAATTTTTCAACTTTTTTTTTAAAGCCATAAAAATTTCTTTAAAAAGCTTATGCAATTAGGTTTATTAAAGATTCAGGATATACTTTTAAAAAATACTTTAGAAAAAGACAAACTACCTTTCAAACAATAAAATAAAATAAAGGTAGCACAAAACCTTCTAGGTTATTCTCTGAGACCTACACTATCATTTTTAAGCACACACACAAATAAAGGTTGATTATTTTTAAAATTAAATATTTGGAATTTAATTCTGCCTCAGCTACAGGAGCAATATGAGCCCCTCAAGTTCATGGGTAATAAATGCACAAAGCTATTTTTCTTTTTAAAAATTTTTTTTAACTTTTATTTTTAGAGAGGGGAAGGGAGGGAGAAAGAGGGAGAGAAACATCAGTGCATGGTTGCCTCTCGAGCGCCCCCTACTGGGGACCTGGCCCAAAACACAGGCATGTGTCCTGATTGGGACTCCAACTGGAGACCCTCTGGTTCGCAGGCCGGCGCTCAATCCACTGAGCCACATCAGCCAGGGCATGTTTTTCATCTGCTTATAGAAACCAGAGGAAGGACTGTCACATCCATCAGAAGGCTACCGTAGCTGCTCTGGGTGCTGCGGCCTCCCCTCCTCATGCCGGGCCAGCCTCTGCTGGGCCATCTCCTGCATGAGATGCTGCTGCTGCTGCTGCTGCTGCTGCTGCTGCTGCTGCTGCCTCAACAAGTGCTCCTGCAGCCTCTGCTGGTGCAGGGCCTCCTGGTGCTCTCGCAGCCGCTGGGCCTCTTCTGCACGCCTCACCGCCAGTCTCTGCTGTTCCAGCTGCTCCTCATAGGGCGACCGGAATTTGGTAGCTGGCTCAGCTGAAGGATGCACCTGGGGAAAAATGAGTTGGGGTGGAGCAAAAGCAGTCAGGTCCTGTGAATTCTTCCTTCACTTGTTTCTCATCACAAACTCAGGAGGCAGGGATGGTGCATTAACACCTATATCCGTCTGGTGAACTATGATGGAACAGAACATTCAAGGGTCACCTAGAGCTGAAACCCCTATTTCCCAACTCCCTGTGAATTGCCCTTGGCTTCTTAGCAACTGACCCTCCCGATTTACTGGCATTAAGGCCAGTTTTCAATGTGCTCCCTCTCAAAAGGAAGAGGGCAAACAGGAGAATTGAGTTTTGAACCTTCATTAAACTTACATTCAAAAGGCCCTGCTATAAGCAGGAACTTGGTGAACTCACACTAATTCGGGCAACTTGTGAGATTTAGGCTAAACACATCGGGATTCTAATTAACTCTAGCAATGCCTATACCCATCCCAAACGAAACATCACCAAAAAGTGAAATTTCAGATTAGGGTAGAAAAGCAGGGAACCGATTTTCTTCCAAGAAACAAAGAATGGGTGAGAAGACAGTACCTTCTGATCAAAAGAAAATCTGATCCAGGAATTCCTAAACTCTGCCTCCCAGTGAGAGGTCTACCGCTCTGTTCTCCAGCCCCCAAGTGATGTAAGTACACACAGTGAAGAATCACTTTTGAGGAAAGCCACACAGGACACAAAGCTGGGAGAGGCTTCTTGATGCTAAGCTTGCATCATCAGAGTGCGGCTGCAGGGGTTTCACACCTACTCAGCCTAAAGTCTCAAGCAGCTTGAAGTCTTGGAAAGTTCAAGGCCAAACAGAACTCTAGTTATAAATAACCACAGCCTCAGTATCTATGCAAAGACCAGTTGAGCATCAGCTCAGAGACAGTGGAAGGAAGGTACCTCGCTGCATTCAGTGTTGCTTTAAGTTCTTTGAAAGTACCATTTATAAATATAATAAATGATTTTTATAAATCTTACTTATGCGAGAGGGGCGTGCTCAGTAGGGGGAGCCTGAGCAGAGGTTAAATGTGCTCACCTAGTGGAATATCCTTAAGTGATAAAATCAGCTTTTTGATACTTAATAATCACCTTGAAGGTGAATGGGCAAAAGCCAGCATACACCTAAATGAACAGGAGAAGAACTTTGATTATAGACAATCAGGTGCCCAGTCGGGTGCTCACCTGTGCTACTCTGTTTAAAGGGACGTGAGCACGTGTCTCTTGCACTGTGCACTGTGGACACCTGGTAACACACATATGCCACCAGCTCTTTCTCTTTTCTCCAAAGATTTTTCCCAGGTATGAAAGTAGCTCTGCTATGAACATTACACAAGAAAACATAAGTCTGTGCACATAACATTCAGTGAAATCACTCACATTTTTGTTTTCAAGACTGTCATATATAGGGAAGCCTTTTTCTTTAAGATTTGCAAACGAGGCCACCCGTCCTCCCCCAGCCAGCAACACTGACCAAACAGGAGCCCACCTGGAGCGGACGGCCTCCTCCCTCCGCATGAGCTCGCCCTTCTAGAAGGTTGGTGTCCTCTTTCCGTCCCTGCTCTTCCTTCCACTCCCGGTCCTGCTCCTCTGGGGACGGGTCGTGTTCCTCCTCAAGATGCTCAGCCTGCCCGACCTGCTCCATCGCCTCCTCCTCCAGGGCCTTTCTGTGCTCCTCCTCCACCTGGTGCTCCTCGGGCTTTCGGGCTTCCGCTTCTTGCTGGTCCAGCTCTGCCGGAGCCTGAAATGCTGCCTCCCTCGGGGTGGGAGGGGAAGGTTTTGTTTCTTCTGTTTTTCCAGGCCGGGCTTCATGCTTCTGCCACACATGACTGTTTCGAGACACCTAGACCAAGCACAACCCTGGAAATGACACCCTTCTATTTCAAAAGCATGTGGGGTTACAATGTAAGCAAAATCCTGGAGTCTAGAAATCCAGAGTCCTGACTAAAAGTATGACTCAGTGGAGCCATCTAACTCTTCTCACTGCGTAGCCTAACCTATCAAATAGAGATAACATAAGCAAAACTTCATTTGGGAAAGGATACAGCAGATGACCTAAAAGCAAAGCCTCTAGGTCGCCGCACCTCAGCAGGCCTTCCCCTCAAAAGCAACCTAGCTCTCGTTTTCCTTTAGGATGAAAAGGAAAAGAAAAAAACTTAAAGTGATGAAACATTTATATATTTTTCTTGAATGTAAACTTTGTCTCAATAATTTGAAAAGGATGAGATCAAATAGGATGAGTTGGGTTTATTTTTTTTATTAGCTAATAAAAAAATAGAATACCTTTACTAATGAACATCCATGTTAGCTAAAAATAGTGCCCATTAACCAGAAACAACATAACCCTTTTTAATGTAGTAAAGTAATGGGGTTTTTTTGTAAACTAGAAAAAGACATTTGTACTTTGTACTGTTAATACAGAAAACTCTGAACAATAACAACAACAAAAAATGATGTGCCTAAAGAGTACCCCTCTTCTAAAATTAATTGATTAAATCCACATTCCCTGTAAGTTTCAGAAATTTTTATATGATTTTTTTTATTACTTAGAAAAAAGGGGCAAAACAGAGATTATATAAAATCAATAGGAAAATTTGTTACTCCTTTCTCCATCTCTTTCTTTATCAGAAAAGATAATTTCTTTGGTCAGACTGCTGCCCCATAATTGAAATAAATGTGAAGGCCTCTCCTTAAATTCGCAGGAGTATAATTGAGAAGATGGATGGTATAAATAACTAAATAAACCTGGAAGAAAAGTCCTTTCTTGGACGTCTGAGGAAAACTTTTGGAGATGTACATTTTAGCAACACCCTCACACACCTGGCAATGTGACATAATACGGTTCTGGGTTGACATGAAATATTTTTCTAAAGAGCACTAAGTGCTCTCAACTGCCTGCCATTTATCTCCACGATATCCCTGTGAGAAAGGTTAGAGCAGAAAACGACTATCTCCACCTGGCAGATGGGAAAACTGAAGCTCTTGAGTTGTTAAAAGATGAGTTCGGTAGGCTGTTAGTCAACTAGAGTAGAGGATAAAATCAATTCCCAGGCCAGGGATCTGGTTGTGTTTTCATAAATTAGTAGTAACCTGAGACCCAGACAAAGAACAAGGACCCATGAAGACACAGTCCTGACTGAGAAGAAATGCTCTGCAAGGGCTGAAGACTCACAGGAAGTCCGCGCGCATCGCTCAGTTATTCCCCTACGATGGGAACTCGCGGGCAAGTCTGCTCAAACGTTCACTGTTAACAACTCTGCTGGGGGGAAACGTCACCACACTCGCCATTTTTATTACACCTGTGATTTGTAAAATCAACTTGTAAGAATTAGTGATGAGGTGACACTACTTCTGATGTCCTGTTCACAAGCTACTCTTAAACAAGGCTTAGTTTTTATGAAGAACGGGAATATAAAAAAGTCGGTCAATGCACTAGCACTCATATCCTTGGCAGTTTCACGAAGGCCTTTTAATACCAGCTTTGCCACATTCTGTTTGGACCTAGCACTGCATCAAATTCAAATATATAATCAACTTTAATACCCGAGTGGGCTGATTATCACATTACATCCTCATGATCATTTAGCCTCTTATACTCTAAAAACAAACAAAAAAAACCTTATAAAAATCTCAGGACATGGCAACTCCTTTCAAACAAATTAACCCACAAGAATAAAGACGAAGCCACTGTGTCTTTCCCAGAAAATACTACAGTCGTTCTCAAAGTGTGCTCCCCAGACCAGCTGAATCAGAAATGCAAATCCTCTGGCCTCGCCCCAAATTAGCTGCATCTGAAACCCTGGGCTGGGGCCCAGCAATCGGTGTTTTGACAGCCCTGCCGGGGACTCGGATATACACTGAAATTTGGGATCCACTGTTCTGCAGGAAAAGCAGTTCACTTGATGATAGCTTGGCAGGGGAAATTACCTGCCTGACCATAGGTCACCCACCTCTTACCTGCTGTGGCTCTCCTGCCGGGTTCTCCCTTGCTGTGCTGTCACCTTGTGGAGAATGCGCCACCTGAGTCACACTTGGCCGCTCTGCTGGCTCTGCTTTTCGAAAGCTTGGAATCCTATTCAGAGTATCCTTCAGCTGTTTATATTCTGCAACTTGAGTCTGCATAGAAATTGCACAATTTGAAGAGGGGAAAAGGTATCACTCACAGATGGGCATTAGGTAGGGTTCACTGGAAGAATAAACAAAAATATTATACCTAAATACAAGTTAGAAAAAATATGAAGATTGTTTCCATGCATTAGCTAGTCTTACTTGGACATGCTTAACCTTTTTGAAGCACATGCAAATTAGAATTAAGAGTTACAGGAAACAGAGGAAAAAATGTCTAAGAAAGATGTTAGTTTCCCATGCTACATTAAACAAAGTCAGAATTTTTATAACTTCCTAATATAAATACCATTATTAAAAGACACCTATACAATCAGTTTTATAGCATCTAAAAATTCTATAAAAATTCACATAATTATAAGTACAGGTGAAGATATGTTTTACCAATATGGTCTGAATAACATTTTTCAGTGGCGAGAAATCATAAGTTTAAGATGAGGAACTGAATATATATATCCGCAAAACCACACAGGCGGCACCCTTTTCCCAGTCAACTTATGCTCAAGTAGGAACTCTTACTCTCCAAAGCATTTGCAGTATTGTGCTCTGCAGTTTTTTGTTGTTGTTTTTTTTAAAGAAATAGCATAGACATGAAGTGAGGCTGGGTTTTTATTTCTCAATTCTGAGTGTACTTCTCTTCTAACGCGATAAAGGCACTCATGTAGGTATTAAAAAGAATATATCTGTGCGTATATGTGGTAGGGGGTGTGTGTGTAATATTTTTAATACAAGGAGCAGGAAAGGCAGGGAAGAAAATCACACCTTAACGAAGAATATAGACTGTTTATACTTTAGCTCACCATATGCATCAACACTGTTACCCTAAAACAGAAACGCTGTGTGTGCAGACACACACTTACAGAAACACAAAGAATACAGAAATCTTATTCTGCACAAGCGTTGCAGGCGGGCCGCGGGCCGCCTCGCTCCAGTGTGCAGAACACATGGGCGGTGGAGACAGAATCCGGCCCGTGCGCGTGCTGCCAAAGCCCCCTGCACGGTGCTGTCCATCCCATGGAAGAGGTGCCTTTCTGCCTTTTTTAAATTCCCACAAGGTGAAGAAGCCCGCTTACTGAATCTGTCTCCTGGGAGCGCTTTTTTATAATTTGTGCAAAGGTGCGCCATGGACTAATGATGGCCCTTGGCCCAGAAATCTGTCAAAACATTTGTCAACCGACCTTGGAGGTCAAGGAAAAAAACAACTGACATCCTCATTGTGATACTCTGAATATTTTAGGGTAAATATGGAAGAATACACAAATCAATACTAGCCGTTCTTCTTTCTCCTCCTCCTAAATATATAATCTTTGAAGGCGTTAATGAGGTGGTCCTTAAATATTAGTGTGCATGAGGAATCACAGAAGGGTCAGGTTAAAAATGCAGGCCCCTGGGTCCCCACTCAAGTAGTGACTATTCAGGGGGCCTGGGGCAAGTGCCAGGTAACTGCGATGGAGGGAAGTCTGCGAAAACACCAGCTTCAGAGCTGAATGTGACCCTGAAGTCAGGAGGCCCCAGCCTTCAAGCCGGCTTTTGGCCTTAGGCCAGCTTTCTTTCCCTTTGACCTCACTATCGTTTAGTTATAAAAGAGCACAATACTAGGTAACTCAGTAGGTTGTAAATATTAAATTCTGCATGTACAGTTCTCATGATAATCCCCAATAATTAAAGACTCAAGTTCTATTCTGTTCTTGCTTTCTTCTCCCTCAGCTATATTTAAACATGAGATCATCTCCTAAGATGATTTACATAAGAAATGTGGATGTCTAAACAGCATTTGTTTTCTAAGAAGAGAGAGCAAATTTTAATATAGGGATTAGAGGTGATGGTCTAATTAAATATTATGCCTAGTTCTGGCATAACTACTTTTTTAAAAGGCAGGAAAAACTTGGAGTTTTCTCCCCAAAAAGCCAAATGATATTTAAAGGAATATAAAAATATACACAGGTTAAGTTTAAAATTTTTTTTTTTCTATGACAAAATGGTCAATAATATTTTCAGTGTGCTTACTACAGAATCTGGCTGTGGTCATTAAGTGAACTATTTTACTTATATTTCTCTGGGTTTTCAAACTGTTGCTTAGTCTAATATTTATGGCTATTATAGCACATAGGTTATTCAAATTGGTTTGTCACAGATTTCAGTATAAAAAACAGCCTTACATTACATAATACATTACATAGCAAAAAACATAAAGAATGCTTTGAACGACATAATCCATCTGAAGTCAATTTAATTTAGACACGTGTAAGAAATCACCACACAGCTACAGTTTTGCAGGGAGATCCCCAATCAATGACCACGAAAGGGGCCCCATAAACGCAGACACTGTAGCCTCGGAGACGGGTCAGAGCCCACCACGTTATACTGCTAATAACTTTAAAAAGAGAAAAAAATAATACATGGTCTCCTGATAGATACAGATGGCTGGTTTCCCTTTGCCCTTTCCTCTTCATCCTTCCAGGAGGAGAACAGTGAAGACCTGATGACTAGGAAGCCACAGTGACTGGCCAGCCATTCCCATCCCTTGCTTCGGCTAGAGAGCTGCGGAACACTCAGCATGGCATCGCGTTCATACGCACTCCAACCTTAGTTCCTGTTCCCTTGCTCATTCAGTAAATATCTGCTGAGGGCCTGCCTTGTTGCCAGACTCTTCTAGGCTCAAACAAATGGAAATTATGACTCTTGTTTTTTCCCTTCTCTGTCGACATGAGGTCTCTTCCTTTTTTCTGTAATTGGACCAACAATACCTAAGCCTAGTCCCAAAAAGAGTGTGTGTAGGCTGGAATGCTAGTGGCAAGGAAGGGAGGAAAGAAAAAGTCTGACAATAATTTATTTAGGTAGTTCATGTCATAAAACCCCAGAACCCCTAAAGCAAGAGTCAACACAGGTCAGACAGTGGCAAGAGACCATGTGATTTAAACAAGTATTAGAATGCTGTGTGTAAAGGCTGACGCAGGGTGGAAACAGTCATATGTACCACATAACCAACTGCAAAACTATAATCAAAGGTTTACTTAATATTCTCTTGATTGAATTTTGAAAGCATGCATGACTTGCTTGGGATCAGAATAGCTCTGTGCTAAGAAACTCGCTGAAGGTCGACTTTTAGGAAACTACATGCACAAAGGATGTCAGAAATGTTAAGCAGACTTGAAAAAGAACCGAGAGAAGCTGCTACCCTTCTAACCTGCGCAGCAGCTAGTGCACTCTTGTGGTCTTCCAAAGTCACTACAAGATGTTCATGCTCGGAGAGTAAATTCTTATGCTGTTGCTATACAAAAAAGAATTTTACATATTGAGTTTTAACATTCTAAGACAAATTCTTTTTTGGCTGAGAGTGGTACGACCACCCAAACATTGCTTACTTGCTTATTTCTTTCTTTCTTTGTTGTCGCAGCATTTATTAAGTTTAAAATTTGTTCAGAGAGATGACTGTGATTGATGCAATATTCTAAAATCTATAGAATGTGCTATCCAGATATCATAATCATTTATAATAAAATCAAAATCAAAGGCATAAATGTATCATTATTAATAAATCTTTGTAAATTAAAAAGCATATTAAAATGTAACCATCTCGCAAAAGAATCATTTCAGTACTAATGAAAATGTTTGGATTTTCAGACCATCTTTTTTTAGCTTGGGATGCAGAAGGTAAAAGTATCGGGCACTCCCCAGTTTATGCAATGCCCAAATGAACAGTGTGGAGTGGCAGAGCAGGTCAATTAGGGAATGACTTTTAAAATCATTACGCGAAGTCAGTCAGGCACACACAGAACTGTCACATGCATGGTTTTATTTTACCTTGACATCTTGAAGCTGCGTATGTATGTCTTGGTGTGCTTTCCTTAGTTGTCTATTCTCTTCTCTCAAATTGTACACGGTTTCTATTTCATAAAAAGAAAAATCACGCATAAAACCCTAGAATTTTTAGGCTTGTCATTCTAATATTTTCATATCTAAAGCTTTACATGACTTGTTTTAGAATTTGTTTTGAATTAAACGAGTTATTCCAAATCGGCAGAAACTACACCATTTGGGCATGGACTCAGCTGGACATCCCAATACAATACAATACAAGCTAGCTCAGTAGTTAAAACATATTTGAACAGCTTATACAGTGTAGGAGAAATTAATAATTTTTAATTACTCAGGAATTAAAACGGAAATATTTCTGTTAATAAGCCCTTAGAAATAAAATGTGATGGGCAGGGGTGGTCTAAGGCATGTCTCTTTAGAAATTAAGACCAAAGTTATCAAAAAGCGCAAACCCTATTTCTCAGAGCATGAATAATTTCCACCAACCCCTGAAGGTATTTCAATTATAAAGGCAACTCAAGGAATAAGAAACACCTGTTGAAAAATTCCAACTATACTTTTATTCTCCTACCACTGAGTTCTTAACTGACCTAAATTCGCTGCTCTAGGTAAGTTCTTTCCAGGGGGCCAAGGTGAAGCTAGCAATCAGGGTGAAGTCCTAAAAGCTCCCGTCTTACACCCTATTATTCTGGGTACAGACTCAGCAACTTAAAGATTCTTCTAGACCCATAGCTCTTATATTCTTGGTAATTGTCTCACCTTCCCTGTATCTGAACATTAGATGTTATAAACTGGCAGCCACAAACCCTTTTTTTTTTTTTTTTTTGCTCCACAACATTCACCTATATAAGTATTATTCATATCTGAATAGTTGTCACCATTTATAAAATGAAGAATCTGGGTCTAATAAAATCTGGCCACACTAGGGCAATTCGCAGGTGCAACACTCAATGAAAGCCGGGCGGTGGAAGGGTGACCATACATACTTTATTTTCCAAGAGGAGATACTTTTGAGTGTGAAAGGAGGTGCTGTTAATTATTACCCTGAAACAGCAGACATACACCTAGACTGCGCTGGGCAAACTGTCCCTAAGTGGCGGCCACTCCCCTGCAGACAGAACCCTCACTCTAGCGTGCTACTCAGCACAGAAGGAAAGTGCCAGTCACCATCGGTCAACATATTTTTCTGTCCCCTTTCACTCGTTTGGAGTCCCTGCCTGACTCCTGGGCATTGGATTTATGTCGGGTTTCGGGGAGAAATGAACAACAAGGTGGGGAATATGGCCAGGGATTGGTTTGTCCATCCACATGCAATAATGGATTTTTTCAAAGGTCAAAACAGGACCCCTGGCAATCCAAGAGGACTGTAAATATGTCACTGGCTGGCTGGGGCTTCAGTATACACACCCATGAACACACACTTGAAATACCCAAACTCTGCGAGTTTTGAGAGTCATTACAGATTATACACTTAATGGCGGGGGCTCCCATGCCTTTGCTACATTAATTTGTTTAAGTTACTCAGCTTTTGTAGGCCTCAATTTCTTCATCTGTTATGTTAGACTGAACATAATGCTTGCCTGTGTGTTATGAGAATTAAGTAAGATAACTGCATGAAGAGTGTCACCCGGCTCTGGCACATAGGAACCATTTGTTGAGTGTCAGCCATGATGATGATGATAAAGAAAAGAACAATTACCTACGCTTATAGGCTATCAGCTCACCTCCTTAGGAATTCTAAATTCTCTCCTCATATCACACTAAACTACCAAATACTGCTTGGACTGTGCACCTTAGTTTGCCACTGCGGACAGTGTCTATCACAATAGGCTTTAACCTACTATCCTAAGCTTTATCAAGGATCATAATAAAAAGACTGCTGACGTGAAAATTACTTAAAAAAGTGTCAAGGCATTGTCACGCTCTGCTAGTTAAGGTCTCTTTGAGAATTTTTTTCCAAAAATTAATTGGTAACAAAAATAATGTTGCCTCTTTCTCTTTTTCTCTTACTCTCCCTTTGTCTCTGTCCCTCCCTGTCGCCACGGGCATGGGCATATACTCCCTTTCTGATAACAGGAATCTCTATAACTCACTGTAACTCCCTTCCATCCGCGTGCCAGGGAGTTCAGACCCGGTCGTGGGCTTGAATTATCTTAGTTTGCAGAACTCACATAAATGTCCTCCTATTTTTCCTGGTTCTTACTTCTTATATATATAATTTGTTAAAATTGCACTACACATGAGTTTTGTTTCAAAGAAAAGGGTAAATATAGAGTAAACCTAAGAAAACTTGCATTTTAGGGATACTGCTAAAATGAACTAATTATGCCAAGTATGCCAAGCATGAGTCAGGCACCTATGAAATTTGATTTCTCATTCCTTAAAGAATCTACTTATTGATTATTAGTAGAATTTAATGTATTTATTCAGCTTAGCTCAGGCTTGCAAATGCTGAACAGCGTATCCAGTGTGCCAGAAGTCTCTGTTCTCACCACTGGAAGGAGCAGCTTTCCAGGGCACGGCACAGGCTTTCTGCTGCGGGGGTTGTCTGGTTCCTCTCTTCCTTTATATGATCCTCAGGAAGACTTCCGGTATTCAGTCTTTCTTCCTCTCTTTTGTTATTTATTTATTTATTTTTTTGTATTCCCCTATTCAATCTTGGCTGCCACAATCAGACAGTCAGAAAGCGCGAGGACCCTTTTCTCTTGCATCTGCACTGGAACCTTAGCAGCAGATAGTGACTGCTCCAGGTCTGTCAAATAGATGCATCGCTGTTTCATTATCTTCAAGACCCCTCACCACCTGCTGCACCTCCAACAAGCCAAAGCTCCTACATGTCTAAATCTCTTGGGTATCATCTGCTGGCACCCAGCCAACTCTATCAAGACCACCCTAACCTTTGTAAATTGCCTCAGTGGCTGCTTAACTCCTCCCATGAGCCTTTTTGTTGTATTATTGTGAAATACTTACAGGCAAAATGTTGCATGAAAAAAACAGAGAAATCCAAGGTAACCATCATCTGGCTTCTCTCTATGATGATGTCTTACATAAAGGTAGTGCACTAGACCAAAACCAGGATAACTAGACTACAGACCCTATTCAGATTTTGACACTGTTTTTGGAGGTACCATGTATCTTTTTAAGCCATTTTGCACACTTTAAAGTGGAAAATTGTAACGGTGAGGAATTATAACGCACCCCACCATTTTTTTTGACACTATTTCTGTAAGTGCCGACTCTGACTAATGTGTAGCTTGTAGATAAACAGCATGTTTGTACAAGAATCCTAGGAACTAACTTCAAAAGATACAGACCTCGACCTTCAGGCATCCCAGCTCCAGGACATTTGCTGACCTTCCATCACGGAGTCAGAATGATGTGAAGTGAGGATGACGTGAAGCTAGGATGACTAAACCAGGAGGCTGCACATCGGGCCACCACTTGCCTCAATGGAATGGGCTGTGCTGGTCTGCACATAGAGAACTTTACAACCCTGTCCCTTGATCTTTTTATTCTGTTTCCCTCTCCCTCCTTATAAAAACCTCTGCCTCCACTGAGATGGAGATGGTGCTTTGAGACATGAGTCCCCCATCTTCCAGACGCCCGGCATCTGCAAACAAACCACTTTCCTTTACATCAGCACCTGTCTCTTGAGTACTGGCTTTCATGGCAGCAGGCAGCCTGGCCTGCGTTTGGTTATATTATTTAAATAGTTTATTTAAATTTAGTATTATTTAATATTTACTCTTATTAATCACTAAATAGGTAATTATAGAATATGTTATTTCTCTTTCCAAAACTCACATGTACTTTAAGGAATAATATAGTTGGTTCCTTATTACTATGAAAATACCTGATGATGAAAATATTGATTGCAATTAATATATAATGAAGATCTACCACATACCAGGAGCTGTTCTAGGCACTTCACATAAATTATTTAATATTCATACAAACCCTAGGAGGGTGATACTGTTTATGAATATCCAGTTTTACAGATGAGGACAATGAAGCTGGTGGTGATTACACAACATGCCCATGGACATATACAAGGGGGAACCCCCAAAATACAGAATTCATTTATAAAAAATTGTGTATTCATTCTTACATGTTTAAGGTGACCGAAGTTTAAAGTCCTCTCCATTTGATGCAATACACCTATTTAAACATTTTTTCCACTGCTCAAAAAGGTTTTTGAACTCATTGATTTTGACGCCTTTTAATGTTTCTGCCATTTTTTGTTTCACCTCTTCCACATCAGCAAAATGCTTCCCTTTGAGGACTGTTTTCATTTGGAGAAACAAAAAATGTCACTCAGTGTGAAATAGGTGAATGGGGGGTTGCGGCATGGCGGTCATGCCATTTTTGGTCAAAAACTGCTGACCGCTCAGCGCAGTGTAGGCAGATGTGCTCATAAATCACCCATCATGAAATGGGCACACACGTTAAAAGGGTCTTCAAAACAAATTTACTGAAGTTGAATGCAGCCTCTCACAGCAACGCCAGCTGGTGCACTGACACAGATGGCTTCCTAGAACACTCACCTAGCTGGGAAAGCCTGTACTAGAAGTGGCCCGCCCTCCAAAAACTAATTCCACTTTTTTTTGGATTCCCCCCTCATAGTGAGCAACTGAAGAAGCTGATTTTCCAGGGCCATTAGACTCTACGAGCCCAAGCTATTGCAAGCTACTATCAACCAACAATCAGAAGTCTTTCTTCCCCTTGAAAAGTTTCAGAAAAGCTTTGTCATCGCAATTTTTGATCATCACAATGACTAGTGAGCATTGATGGATGGCAGTTTGTGGGTTGAGGTCAGAGATGCCAAATGTCTCACAATACACACACACACACACACACACACACACCACCCCACCACGCCCCGTCTTGCTCAACAGGGCCAGTTAGCCTCATTGAAAAACATTAAATATTCTCCACTTGCCAAAACAAAGCAAAGAGATAAGGATAAATGTGAAATGTTACAAAGAAATTAAGTGGCTAAAAAAGAGCCAGTAATACAGATAAACCAACCACCATGCAGAAACAAACAAAACAAAAGTCTGTTGTTCAACTGAAACATTAATATGAGCACTTATTTCTACATAAACTGGCTAATTAGATTTCCAAATACCTTTTAGCTTAGAAAGTTCCTGTTCTTTCTCTTGCTGCAGCTGCAGGTATTTCTGCTTATGGTCGTTGAATGTTCTACTGAAGTCTTCCCCTTGTTTGCGGTGTTCCTCTTCCAAGTCGCTGTGCTGTTTCTTTAGCTCCTCATGTTGACTCTGCAAAAATGAGACCTTGAGCAATAATGTACATTCTCTAAATAACCGGTATATCTATTTCTTGCTAACACAGCCTTTCTCTTCTTGCAAGAAAGTAAGAACGAATGAAGGAGGAGGTTTCATGTTCCTCAGGTTGCTTTTAATTTGGGCAGCTCACCTCCGTTTCCCTCACATTTCAAATAAAGAGTTTGGGATCATGGCCAAAAATAATTTTCCTTTTAATTTTTTAACATCAGTGGAAACAACAAGAAGTTAGAAGTTAGTGTGAGAGGTGGAAAAGAGAGGGACCTGGGGAAATTCCCAGGCACTCAAATTACTGTGCAAACAAGGCAAAGCTAATGGGAAAATTAACCCTCTGCGGATATTCTAGACTTCTTCTTTCACTCTTTTGTTGCCCTAAAATCATTTTTGATTTCCCTTTTTTGATTTTCAGCCTTCCTGGTAACCCAGGTTAAAGAAGGAAAACAAAGACTCTTCCCTTTGGGGGAAGTAATAAGTTGATCGTTTATTAAATCATTCTCATTTATCTTACTTCTGATTATTATACTATGCTGTAATAACAACCAAGATAAATTCTACTGTCTCCAAATGCTTCCTGTGAAAGATAGTCTGCTTTAATTCATGTATTGCTTTCTTGATAATAGAAAAGATTCTGGTTTCAATAAAAAATACTTGCCCTAATAACAGAGGAGAAAAGACAATACCAAACAGTCCAGGCATGGGGGGGGGGGCGGGGAGGTCAAGGTCTGGCTTGCCTGCAGTGCAAGGATGGCACAGCACACACCGTCCCCTCCACCGGCTTGACAGAAAGAACAAATCAATCTCTCTCCCTCTATCTTCCTGACATACAAGAATGAATTTTATCCCAGATCCAAGGAAGAGAATCTTTAATTATAAATTGTTTCCCTGTGGTAGATAAAAGGACACTTTTTAATTATGACTAGCACAAAGGAGGCATTTTAATAGTTTACCAACTCCATTATGTATAAGGTAAATATTTAAGGAAAACTACTGTGAGAAATTAAACAAACAAAAAGCCTTAAAGAATAAAAAGAAAAAAAAGACAGTTGACCAGAGAGTTCGAGTTAAAAGAAATTGTGTAATAAGCTATATATGTTCTTTGTAATGAGATAATAAATATGATGGGGCATTATATTGATACATCATTTCAGCCAAATGACTTTACTATACCACATTATAACAGAAATCAACTTTCTGTAACTGTCCTTACTCGCTTAAGTTGCTTAGTTAATCCTTTCACTCATTGAAGAACATCATTAAATTACTCACTTTCAACATCTGATGTTGCACATTCAATGCACTGTATCTACTGTTGGAATCTTGCTGTAAATTGAAAGGAAAATAGTTAACAAAAAGATTTTTTAAATCCGGCTCTTTTGCTAGGCATAGCTTAAAACTCTTCATAGAAGAATTTCATTTATTTCACTTGTGTAAGCTACAATGAATTCTCCACTTGAACCAAGATGTCTGAGGCCAACTCTTTATGTAATAGCAGAAATAAAGTTTTAACATTCCATAAGTTTGCTAGGTTTTAGTAATGAAAAAAAGAGGACATGAAATCATACAATAGCAGCTTGACAGGGCCCTTGGAGATGTTACTTCCACGCGTACATTCAGAACGGAGGCCCCGATGGAGGAGCTTGTCCTGAGACCCAGCACGCCGTATAGATGATGAGACATGGTGCTGGGTGCTCCCCAGGAGAGCAGGGTGACACCGGCAAGCACCAGGTCTCCTGAGCTTAGCCTGGTTAATGGAGGAAAAAGAAAAGGCTTTCCTTCCCTGGGCTTCAGTGGGTAAGAAATTCTACATGCATTACTTGACCCAGTTGAGACTGCATTTTAGAGTGAGAATTAGGCTAGGGAGCAGACCAAGGGCAAACACTTCCTTTGGCAGCAGAGCCAGGACTGGACTGAACCTTGAGCCTGAGCTCCATGTTCCAGGGGTAGATCACTGGGTCTCAGTGCAGCGTCTTCACGTGGGGACCTCAAACATTTCCAGTTTCGTGTAGCCGCCCAAGACACCCGAAGGTTTTCTCTCCCCCTGCTGTGCCGTTCCATCTCACATGCCTTACTCCTTGCTTATCCCATGGCCAGCACAAGTACATGCTCAATCATTTCTTATTTCATGTTTTTACAACTTCTAAAATGAGCTGCATATTTGCTTTCTCACATTACTGCCTTCCTACTTTGCTTTAATCTGTAAGGAAATTACATTATAAAATGGACAAGAGGATGCACACAGTTTTGGTCAGGGCTTTTAAAAGCACGTAAGAGTTGAAAGCTAATAGCATCTCATCCCAGCTGCCTGAGGAAATGACTCTTCTCAGTTGTAAGACCCCAAAACGTCAATGTTTTATTCAACTAAAGCCTGCATTTTTTTTTTTAGAGTAAGGAACAAACGAGTTTTTCTCCAGGTAATTTGGACTTAAAAGTTTTTAATGGCAATATCATTCATTCATTCATTCATTCATTCAACAAATGTCTCTGAGTGAGCTCTGGATGGGAGAGGGGTGAGGGAAGACTACGCAGAGGTGGTGGCCTCTTGGATGCTTTGAGAGTGAGGAGGACTTTGGTACACAGGACCGCCATGGTACTGTGTTAGATGTTACACAGTAATATGCGTCCAAGGAGTAGTAATGCTGTGCAGAGGCAGACCAAAATAAATATTATATTTTACAGAAGAGAGAGACTATAAAGAAATAAACATATAGATGAATACAAATAATCGGCTCATTATTGTTGAAGATTAACCTATTCCCAACTTATTGCTATCATAAATAAGCAAAAGTAGGTTTTACAAGAACAGTTTTTAAAGTCTTCCTCTTAAAAGTTTTTGGTAAAAAAAAAAGAAACATGTATTTCAGCCCTACAATCCTAATGATCAACAGAGCAAAATACTTTGCAACAATCCCTTCTTCTTTAAAATTTCATGAAAAAAACAAAACAAAACTTACCCTCCCTTTATTTAGTGTTTCTTGTGCTTCTAACTTATAAACAAGAAAATCTAGAAAATATAAAATGAAGGAAGTTGAATGTAAGTTAATTACTTGTGAAATGTTTAAATATCTAAAAGAATAAACACAAACTTTACTTAGACTTAGAAAATACAGTTCTAGGTTTAAAACAATCTACTTGGTGACATATATTTTATTTTGCTTCTTAATGCTTTAGAAAAAAGTGAAAAAGCAATTACATAATTTTCCTCTTTACCTTAAAGCTATAAATCTTGCATTAACAACATCCACATGATAACCAACCAGTTAAAAGTGCATTTAGAATGTGTTCTCTGTAATTAACTAGCCTTGAAATTAAGGAGGAAAACAAACATGTAGCACATCTAAAGGCAGAGATGATTTATTGCTACCCACTAGATGGCACACTAAAATCATTCAGGACCTGAAAAGAGAATTGAAGCCATTGAAACCCTTTGATGCCTTTAAAGCTTATTATCCACTAGATGGCCCCATAAAATCATGCTGCATTTGAAGATAAGAAAAATCCAAATCCTATCAAAGCATTTTAATGATGTTAAACTGCTATTCTTCACAGAGGCTTAATCCAAGGGTCAGTAATACATCCTAACCAATACTGCCCGCCCCTGTTCTCCCTCCTTCTGGCCACCAAGTTAATCAGACAGAACATCTAACTTAAATCCAGGATTTATCACAAAACATGAATGAAAATATAAATGCAGATAACTAAATCACTTGAGTATAAAGTCTATGCTTTATACCAAAATTCTGATAAAAGTCACGGCATTGCCTGATATCTGTGCTAAATGTTAATTTTCCAAACTGAACCGATCAGCTGTCCAAAAAAGCCCTCACAAGATAAAAACAGGTGTGTCAATTAAAAGACATCATACAATGTGAACAATTTATTATGTTATAAACGTATATATACGCATATGCATATATAAAATTTGTCACATTCTGGACAATGCATATTGTTACTTTCTGGATATTTGCAGACAAGATTCCAGGTGCTAGCAACATACATGCATAATATTCAAATAAAAAGCTGATTATTTCTAAAATAATATATAACCAGTATATGAACTACCTCAAGGTTGCACAACAAATTGCTTGACATCTGACTTTGGGTTGATTTCATTAATTTCTTAGCAAAAAAATAGCAAAGCAAATACATGATGCCTCAAAGAAGATAAAAACAAGACACAAATTGCATTATTTATTTACCTTCCTTTGCTTTCTTATGTTCAAGTCTTTCTTTTTGCAAGGACTTCTCTAATCTTGATCTGTGTTCGTACACAACTGAAAAAAAGAGGAGTTCAAATTTGTATTCAAAGAATCAAAAATTCTAAAATAAAATTAACAATTTTTAAAACAGAAGGAAAACAGTTTAGAGCCTTTACATAATTAAAACAAAAATTTTTGTATTTATAATTTCCACATTCTGGATAAAAGATAGATGTCATAGATATAATTCTGGGCTGACTCCTATGCAGTTTGCCCCTTGATTGAACCAATACTCTGGAAGAAGCTGCCGCCTTTGTCAGCAACTTGTCTTCTCCTGCTTCTTAAAATGAGCATCTCTGTGAAGTTCCATGTCTCTTCCTGGGCAACCATGTCCACTCTTATGACTTCAACTACCCCCTCTACAGCGTTCACCCGCACATCTGTATTTCCAACTCCTGCCTCTGCCTGGGGCACCTGAAGAGAGTTTCCTAACATCCTACAGGGTGTTTCCACATAGAAATGTCATAAGCACTGCTAAGTCAACACGATCTGAATTTGAAATAAGCCTGCTGTGTGTCGGTGAGAAAACCTCAGCAGCCTACCACAGAATGAGAAAGGTGGCATTATGTCCCCACATCAAGGGAAGCAGGTGAGAGAGCCACAGAAATGAAGGAAAGACAGGAATGAGCTGTGGGGTGGGAGAGGGGTGAGGAAGACTTTTTACAGGAGGTGATCTCTTGGCTGCCTTTGAGTGTGAAGAGCAATTTGGTAGACAGAAGCACCACAGGAAGAAGCCACTTCTGGAAGATGTCATAGGGACATCAGCACAAAGGTGTGAAACTAGAGGAAAGGTAGCTGCACTCCAAAAAGCTTGGTTGCAAGCCCACTGTTGAGAAATCACATTTGTTCAAACATGTCTGCATGTATGGAATTTATCTCCCTCAGCCAACTTCTAAAAGCCTATTAACACCATGCATTTCCTTGGACTGGTACTAACAATACCATCTTGTATGACGTTTGGGGTAAAGCAGGGAAAACAGAGATTAGTGCTATTTTATAACCATACTGAAGCCAAGCCCTGAACTGCAGGCTCAAAATCTTGGGGAATTTCAGTCAGGCTGGGGAAACTTACAGGGAAATGGATAAATACAAAGCTGCCATAATACGACAGAGGCAGGAACAGCATGCCATAGGAACACCTGAGCTCCCCGGCTGCGAGGAAAAACTCCCCCTCAACTCCGATCCGCTGGCCAAAGCTCCCATTGTCTGGGTAGGAGATCACAAGAGCATAAACACGCCAGTTAAAAGGGAATCTTGGTGTACTGGACATGTAACAGGCAATTTCAACCAGCATGTGTATTAATTTCAAAGCAAGCAAGCAAGCAAGCAAGAAAGAAAGAAAGAAAGAAAGAAAGGCAAAGTAGTCAAGACCTTGCTCCAGTGTAACTAAAGAGGCAGCCAGGGATGCTGAGTCTAGGGGGCTCCTGAAGATGCCAGGTCCATTAGGGGTTAACAATTCCAGCCTAGAAACACCTATGATTAAAAACCAAACCACACCAAACCAACCTGCAGTATAATCAAGAACTAGTATATGAGGGGACTGCTCACCACCTGCCCCCAGCCACCTCAGGTGGCAGGATAGGATAGAAGGGGGGAGCTGCATTTACAAATTATAGTCCTGTGAGATTCTTCTTTACTTTATAAATAACAGGCAGCAGTGATCATTGTAAACTCACTGTTGCAAACTCAATGCTGTATGGGACTCGGTAATTAGGTGACAATTATCTTTGGCTTGGGAGGCAGAAAACTCATCAGAATGATTTCTTCTTCAGTAAGAGTGGAGCATCCAGTAGATTACACCAAACAGAGAGGGAGTATGTGTGTGTGGGGGGGGGGGGGGCACTGGGTGGGGGAAGTGGGAGATGGCTCTCCATTCTTTATTCTTTTCCCTGCAATGCGGTCAGGAAGATAATGTGCCAAGAGCTGGCCCACAGTATCCATTTATCATATGGAATCACACAACAGCCTGTGACAGTTTTACACTCAATGGGAATTTACACATTCAACATATTAATAGTCGTGTGTCTCAAGAGCCAGGAGATCCTAGGATTCACAGTTATAAACTTTCATAAATCACCTGAAGAGATGCTGTATGTTGTCCACAAAGAGGCAAATATGTTTGTGGATTACAGCCCATATACAAAGGTCTTGGGACATCTGAGACATATTCATAAATAATAAAATGGCATCACCACAGAGCTAAAGAAAGAGAATGTGTTTTGGCAAATATAGTAGGAAAAAAGGATATGATAAACAGGAATAGAAGATGTATGTAGAAACACTGGGGTAACTGCACTATTAATATTACCTAACTCAGAACTGGTCAAGCCATTATTCCAGCACCAGCCTCTAGTCCTAACGTAATATTAGTTAATGCAAAAATGGTGTGAGGGCTGGAGACGACCACTGAGGAAGAAGGTGAAAGAGCAGCAATGACTGGTGGAAAGTTGAAGTGCTGTTCTCATCAGACTCTCAAGGGAACAAAAAACGGAGAAGGAACCCCAAACTGGGAGCTGAGGAAACAACATTAGATAAAGGACGGTGAGTGAAAATTAATCCTTGGAATTGGAAATTCTGAAAAGAAGGGAGAGGGAAAGAGGCAGGTGGTGATGTAATAGTTGGGAGCGCAGACACGGATGTCTGAGTTCAGATCCTAGATCAATCCATTAAGGGGCAGGTGGCTGAGCTTCTTTGTATTTCAAATTCTTTATATGCTTTGTGGTGATCATAATAGTATCGATTTCTTTGGGTGGATGTCAGGGTTAAATGAGTTAATATATGTCAAGTACTTAGAACACTGTCTGGCACGGACTAAATGCCAGAAAATACTAAAATATTTTTCACTTATCTGCTGCGATAGCTTAAAACTGCCAGAGAAGAAATCAGGTAAGACCTCTCAACCCTAAAATTAAAATATAATAATAAGAAAGTAATATATATGTATATATATGTGTGTATATATTCAAAAAGGCATGATAGTGATTTCAGTTTTTTTAATTCCACCTAAAAAAAAGACAAAGCAAATAAGCATTCCAATAGCTTCATAAAACCCATGAGCTAATTGTTTTAATAAACACTCAATGATAGTAAAACAGACCAGACAGAATCTGTGTCCTTGTAGCTCCTCTATAAAATTCCCCTATCAATTAAACATATACTCACACACACAGACACACACACACAGACACACATACCCACACGCACGCACACTACCCTTAATTCTTTTAAAATGCATTCTCCAGGCTTTTGAGCTAGTGATTTATCTAGATAGGTTTACTGTTTCGCTTAGGAGGAGGATTGTTAATCAATCCTTGTCACCTATCTCTATTTTTCTATTTATACTGTGAAGTCAAGGGCATCAGTCAAGATGAACTAATACTGCTAGAAACTTTGCAACAAAAATGGTATATTATGATATTCTCGTGGCACCGAACAAGTTTAAGGAAAAATAAGTATAAAAATGTGAGAGTTCAATCTTGGCATTCAGAATATTTAATGCAGAATAATGCTGTAACAGGGGTGGGATTTGAATCACCAGAACTCATGAGAAAAAGAGGAAAATCCATAATACTCATTATCTGCTTACTGAAAAGGAGTTTAATATTTCCGATTCAGTCAAGAATGGGAATAGGTTTTATTCCATCTTAAAGCCCTCAAGAGTTCAAAAGCACATCAGCTTCCTACAGCAATTTTCCATTTTAACCTGACTTCCATCTGAAAGTCACGAGAGAAATTAGCTGTATACATCCACTTATGCGCAAAATACGTATCCAAAATATATTTCGGGGCAAAACTCCTCCAATTCAGAATTAGAAAGCAACACTAAATTCAGACAGAAAACACTGCCGAGTGTTCTAACACCTCAAGCCAAGAGAGGGCAATGTTTCCTTGGCAGAAGCAACAACAGCCCATGAAATTTTGCTTTACTCCTGACAATACATAAGGTTTTGTCCTTATTTTTTTTAAATAAATAAATAAAAACAACTCTGAAGCTTGATATGAAAGTCACACCATTCAACTTGTAAAAATACTAATATTTGCAAGTAACTGTCATTTGACATATGCAAGTTAAAATGAACAAATCTGTGCTTTTGATAATTGTGGATGAAGATTTTTAAGGAGGATAGCAAAGATGTGACAAAAAGGGAAAATAAACTGAAATCAATATAGTACTTCTGAGGTCTTGTTTTGTAGGCCTAAACTCATAAATATTTATTGTAGTCTTTAAAAACAGTTTTTGGGTTGCGGTTCTAACTTAGAAGTGGGGTGAAGGCCAGCCACTCACCCACCCTCCTCCTCTGTAGAACGAGTTGGTCACTAACACAAAGCCCACATCGTAGACAGAGTTTTCCAATTATCCTTCCTTCCTTCTTTCACTTACCTCACAAGAAGTCCGAGAAAGGATACAGATCTCCTCAAAAAACCACCCACAGAAAACAACTAACACCACTTTGAGGACCTCACTGGGTCTTCCCTCCAGCCCCTGTGAGTAGGCGAGGGCGTCCCGAGGAGGCCTTCAGTGTCTCCCCACCCCGACTCTTTTGACAAAGTCTCCTCCATTCTGCATCCATCTTCCTAACTGAACACTCAAACCGCATCCACACTGACAACCACTCACACACATCTCCTAGAAATTGTTACGTCCCGCTTTTACTTCGCCCTCAATCCCAGCTGTGCATCTTCCAGTAAATTCAACCTTTCCAGTCTGCTTGACAATTTATAGCTGAATTTCATTATTAATTTAACCTTTTTAATGGTTAGCTCCCTTTACTAAATTATATATTCCCGTTCCAACCCTGGGGGCAAAATCTGCCAATGGCTTCTCATTACTGCGGGAAACCAAAGCCCTCTCATGGCTTCACCTGGTTGTTCATCCTGCTCCAGCCACAGTGGCTTCCTTGTTACTCTGAGAAGGAGCCAGGCACGCTTTCAGCTCAGCCCCTCAGATGCCTTCTCCTGGTGCCTCCTTCTCCAGGTGCCTGTGCAACTGGCTTCCTCACCTTCTTCAGGTCTCC